TTCAAGTTAGCCTGAGCTATACAGCTAGACCATGTCTTGTAAGATTTTTGTGTAGGAGTGTTTACCTATATATATGGACACCATGTAGGTAACTGGGACAGAACCCAGGTCCTCCCTAAGAACAAGTGCTCTTAATTGCTGAGCTATCTTTCCAGCCCTGCCTTTAACAACGGAAAGTATCTTTTATTTACAGGCTATCAATTTGAGAAGGAGCTGGAGGGAAGCTACATATTTAAACTGAAAAAAAAAAAAAAATCAATAAAAATTTGTATGAGTTTTTTTGGAGGGAGGAGGCTGGTTCAGATAGGGTTTCTCTGCACGGCCCTGGTAGTCCTCAAACCCAGATCACCTGCCTCTGCCTCCTGGGTGCTAGGATTAAAGGCATTTGCAAGAGTGTTGTTTCTAATTGCAGCACATGCATGCAGTGCCAATGGAAGGCAGAAGAGGGTGACGTCACTGGAACCCCAGTTGCAGTTAGGAGTTACAGGGTGGGTGCTGGGAACTAAGTAACTCTTCAACAGCAACTGCGCATAAACGACCCTAGATTTCTGCCTTTTACTGTAAGTTATCAGGAAAAACCTCCTCTGCAGACATGTTTCAGCACTAGCTAATGAGGTAATGGCTAAATCTGGGCAACACAAAGGAAATACATCAGGAAATATAAATGGGATTTATATGGCTCTTGGACCCATGCTAGCTCTCAGCATTAAAGAGCCTCAGAAAACTTGTTCAAACCAGCATTAACCACCCAAAATAAAGCCCATATTTTAATGTCCCAACCTGAACTATAAATCCAACAAAAACCAAAATCTGAGTTATCTTAGAAGTAGGTGTTCCAAGACCCAAAGTCTTAAAAGATGTCATTCCATAGCCTGAAGCTCGAGTCTCTGGTTTGGTGGTATAAAGGAGATATTATGAAATGGCTTAGTGGTATTAAGACAGGGACCATTCTCAAACCACTCCCAATCAGAGTAACTACTCAAGATTCTAGTAACCATGACGTCCTGCTATTGCTTCCCTATGAGAAAGCAACCAATTATCTATTAGTCCTTAACTACTAAACAAATCACAGGTAACAGAACCACAGACAAGCCTTGACCTTTATTATTTAAAAAGCTGCATCTTTATTTCGCTTTCTGACTCTGTGCTTGTGCCTTCAACACCTTCACAACAATTTTCTGCTCCTCAATAAGGAAAGCCCGCTTGATCCTAGGAAGAAAAACAAACTTCAATTATCATTTAACACAGGAAAGTTATTATAAGATGGAGCAAAACAAGACCCTAGAAAAATGTACCAACATCCACAGCTTGTGAGATTACATGAACAAACATTTACGGATGGCAATTCTCCAATTCCAAGCAGTCTTGCCTGCTTCATAACTATAAATAAAACAGGTTATGCTGGCTAGTTTTTTATCAACTCGAACACAAGCTACTCCCATGGGAAGAGGGAACCTCAATCAAGAAAATGTTTGGGGCAGTGAACCCAGACTGGCGGTCCTGGGTGCTCTAAAGTGGCAGGCTGAGAAGTCATAGACAAGCCAGTCAACAGCACTCTTCCATGGCTTCTGCTTCAGGCCCTGCCCTGATTTCCCTCTGTGATGGGACTGCTCCCTGAAGTGGAAGATGAAATAACCCCTCTCCAAGTTGCCTTTGGTCATGGTATTATCAAGCAATGGAAACCTCACAAAGACAATACCCAAAGATGACAGGACTATCAGTTAAGACAATTTCCTGGAAATATATTCCCTACACCAGGATCCAGGACATGTTTTCCTTAAAAAAACAGCTAGCTGCTAAAAACTAGCTCAGGGGCAAAGAAAGGAGCCAAGTATACCGTCTTAACAGATGGGCCCAAACCTAGATTCAGTAGGCCAGGAACCAAATATGCCCAACATCAAATCCCTCTAGCTCAAAAATACATGACCTCAGCCCTTCACCCCCCCTCCCCTTCACTTCTTATCCTTACTGTCCCAGGTCAAACACCAGAGTCTGGACTATCCTTTGTTTGTATCCTTCAGGCTCAGCCTCAAATGTCTCCCGTTTCTTCAACTACATGAAATTTATCTTTTAAACCTTAAAGTTCAGTTCGCCTGTTTCACAGAATTTTTGCCCCGTGTTTGTATTAATGTACTAGGCCTTACTCCCTAATGAACTACTTCCAAAAACAGGGCAGGCAGATTGTCAAAAAAAATTTATCTAAACACTTGGCTAGAGCGTTTTATAAAACTACCCAAATAAACCAGAGTCCAAACCCCACCCACCTCCGAATCCCCTGCTCACCAACTCTGTGTCCTTTCCACGGATACTCTAGGTGCTGACCCTTTCTAGTCATCTGAACTTAAACCCCCCAGAAGACTCATCCAGGTGCACTGAGTGTTAGCCGGCACTCCACAGTTATAACTCTACACCACCCTTACCCACGATTCTTTGTAACATCCCAAAGATTCACCCCTCCCTGCCAAACCCTGTCCACGTCGGCCTTAGGGGGCAGGGCAAGCACATTTCCTCTTCCCTGCAAACCCTCATCTTGTTACACGAACGACTTCACCATTTACCCCGCTGGAGTCCGTTTCTGGTTTACTAAATGATTCTCAGCTTTGCTTCAAATTTACCTGCTCCTATATACCAGGACTGAGGTTCCTATACCTTATAGGCCATCTCCTCCCCAGCTGCCCACTACCAAATACTAATTCACCGTTTCTTTCCCGTCTTTTCTCTCAAAACCAAAGCTATGTGAAAGATGCCTGCAAATCCTGACATGATACGAGTATCGGTGTTCTGTACAACATTAGCTGTCAAGGGAAGACTCAGTAACGCTGGCACGCAGCACAAGAGAAACAGTGCCTGGCACCTCACTCACCTGTCGCGGACACACTTGGCACACATGGACCCACCGTAGGCCCTGCTGACGTGCTTCTTGGTCTTAGACAACCTCATAAGGACTTTCGGTCTCACAGCCCGAACCTGTATAATGAACAGACTGCAATCACCTTGCGGTGCTTAAGTAAAAACAGGCATTTCCTAGTAGTAACTACAAACGGAAACCAGGCTACAGAGGGAAAAGGCTTCTGCTTCCCCCTGAAAAGCATTTCAGAGCCATTTCTCACACTGGGTATTGAAGAAAATGATCTATGTTCTTGGCAGATGTGGATCCCGGGTATCTAACAATTCCCAATCACCTATCTTAGTAGTCAGCTGCCTTCAGTCAATTCCCCACCGGCGCACTCAACTCTCAAAGGGTACTCACCCCTCGAAGCCTGCCTGGGCACACACCGCATGCCGATTTAGGTGCTTTTCCAACCTTCTTGGTATAAAGGTAAACAATCCTGTTGCCAGGGGTCCGAGACCTAGGAAGAAGGGTGTGAGCAGCTCAGTGTCAGGAGGTGACAATATCTTAAAATATTTTAAATTTGAAAGAAAATACTTACAGCCTAGTTTTGTTAGAGGCTGTGTTGTAGGAAAGCCTACGACGGTATGTCAAACGCTGGACCATCCTGAGTGCCTAAAATTTAAAAACAATCATCTTTTCACTGTAAACATAAATCACATTTCACAGCACCATCACATAGTGCATCTTACATACTTCCACACATTTATGCAGTCTAAAGAATTCCACATTTAAAAACGATTTGCATTTAGAGATAATTGGTGGTAGACTACTTGTAGTCAAGTATGGAACTGGTTAAAATCCTGACCATGGGCTCATTCCTCAAGGAGCCTGTTTTGTTTGGCGTCTAGACAAAACACTAACCAGGAAAGCTGGACAAACACCCATTTAAAAAGTGAGAACAGGTGAGGCCCTCGAGCTGAATCCTCAGCAATGCCCATAGCTGACAATACAGAGCCAGCCGCCGGCCTCTTCTAGGACAGTATTTCCCCCTAGTTTATACAGCTGCCAACAGGATGAAGACATTCCCTGTCTCATCCTCCGTGGCGCTGGCACCTGGTAAGGTATCCGTTTAGGACCTAGATGTTGTCCACCTATGAACGGGGCCCGTTTTCGTGCCGTTCACAGCATGTAAACAACGCTCCAAGCTGCAGCGGCAATGCGTTTGGAACCCGGACCCCGAACACGCTGGACAAGCAAGCGATCTACACACACACACACACCTACACCTACACACACACGCTATCCCTTACGTATTCTCCACTAGTTTGTGTGTGTGTGTGTATATGTGCATATGTATACATGTGTATATGTATATATGCTTATGTGCATGTGTGTGTGGGGTGTTTATATGTCTTTTTTAATTTACCTGGACAAGCAAGCGATCTACACACCTACACACACACTCGCCCCGGCAACCTGGCTTTCAAGTGAGCTGCCCCAAGCCCCAGAAGCGCAGGCCAGGCACGCGCAGCCAAGCTAGCCTGCCTTCCGAACCTTACGCACCCCCACTTGATGTAAGGGGACCCCGGCTGGCGGGCACCTGAACCCACACCGACGACCGGCGCAACCTAAGGCGCCACGATCCGGTCTGTGGCTCCATCGCCGGGGCGCACCCCGCCACCACCCCTGCTAATCACGTCTCGCTCGCCACCCGCCCTCAGGACCGGCGTCCACGGGGTGGGGTGTGTGTGGGGCCACCGGAGGCTGCGGTCCCTACCCGAGGGCTCCACCGTCGCGGCCGCCGAGCGCTTTACGGCCACGACCGGAGCCGAGGCGCGCGGGGTCCCGGCTACCCTCCGCTTCGGCAGCGCCGCAGAGACCGGGGGGCTCCCCGACTCGGCCGCCACACTCCCCTGCTCGCCCCTCACCCTCACGCCGGCGGCAGCACCGTCCCCCTAAGGCGTCCCGCCCGCCCCGCGCCCCGGATGGCTGCGGATTGTACACAGAGCCAACGCGGAGCGGACACCAGGCACCATACCTCTCAGCACCGTCCCCGGAAGAGGAAAAGGAAGGGGCTGGGCGAGTTCAAGGGGTCACGTAGGACTGCGCAGGACAGGAAGTATGTCAGAGGCGGAGGTGGGTGGGTGGGCAGAGGCGTGTCCGGCTGTGCGCCGCCATGTTGTACGGAAGCGGCCGCCGGGAGCGGTGTAGACGGGAACGCGCGGAGCTTCGGGTTTGCGGTGAGGCTTCGGTAGGCGACCTGTTCGTTCTCTAGCCGCGCGCAGGAAGGTCACGCGAAAATCTCGGTGGAGCGCAGCTCTGGACGCAAAAGGCAATGACAGAGGAGCCCTCTCCACGCCACTAAAAGGAAACACGGACGCTAGGGTGGTTAGACCTGGGTTTAAATTTCTACTGACGGCCCATACCATAAGGTGATCTGGCCCCTCGTGGTTTCAACCCCGAGGTCATTCAGGCCGAGCACACACCTTACAGACTTTGAAACGAGCATTTGCTAATTACTAGCTATCTCGTTTTGGGCGAGTCCCGAAGTCTCTCAAAGGAAAACGTTACTAAGCACCCTTGCAGTGCTGTGATCAAAGGCATCCTGAAGTTGCAGCACTTAACACAGAAGGCTCACAGAGAGCAAGTGCGCTGTAAGCGGTGGTTAATTTATTACTGTGCGCACACAGCTACTTGAGGCTTTACTTGGGTGGTAAAGTTTAGTCTGCGAGATGAAGATGCGGACCACAGGGGGCCAGCAACCTCCAGTTGTCTATGTGAACACTTACGTTATGCGTCCTTAGTTTTCATCATATTGTCAAAGGCAATGAACGCTTTCCTTGGGCATTAAAGAAGAGCCCCACATCACTGCCATCTTTGTCAAGACACTAGTAAACCGTTCTGATTATATCCTTCCCTGGCTCTCAAATAGCTCTCTAGCCTGTGGTCTCTGTTCTTCCAACTCTGGAGTCCCTTCTTTCTCTGTGGTAGGCATCAGATAAAGGGCTGGTGTAGAAAGACAAGCACAGTTTTTGAATGAATGATTGAATGAATACATTTCCTCAGAGCCTATCTCTTTATTTCTGGAGAGACTTTGCTGGGCAGAGTTCCCTGGGAGATGGGCGCTCTTACAACATTATACAGTGCACGTTAATACATTTCTATGCACGCCCCTCCGCCCCAGTAGAAAATGGTCTCGCTGTTGTGATTTCCCCAGGTTATACTTCACCCTACTGTGTGAGTTTTCTTCTCTTTCAATCTGCATTTGCATTTTTATTGATCAGTCTTGCTTGAAAATCCAGGAATCTTAGTAAGATCCTCAAGAGACCCTCATTTGCTTTTATTAATCTCCTTTGCTTAGTTCTCTGTTCGTCTCGGCATTAATTTCTCTGAATATTATTTTTATAATTTTCATAAAACTAAAAGGTGAATCTAAAATACTATCCTGAATTGGACTGTGGACATTGGAGGTTTAACATTTTTTTAAATGTAATTTTTAAGGGCTTTTGATAAAAGTTTATTTTAATGGGATCAAATTCAACACTCTTGGAATTTGTGCAGTTTGTGTCTTATTTTTTAAAAAAAAATTTCATAACCTCTTTAAAATAGTCACCTATGCTGGGCAGTGGTGTCACGCACCTTTGATCCCAGTACTCAGGAAGCAAGAGGCAGCCTGGTCTATAGAGCAGAGTTCCAGGAAATCCAGGGCTACACAGAGAAACCATCTGGAAGAAAACAAAACAAACAAACAAACAAACAAACAAAAACCTCACCTACATCTTCATCACCATCTCTTCATTTTTGGTTTGACATCAGTTTAATTTGTGTATGACAAGTTACTTTAAACTAAAAAGTCCATTTCACATGATTTAGAAATACAGATTGACTGTTGTATCTCTGGATAATTTCGTTTATACCTTCTTTTTAAATTAATTTTTGTTAGCATACAAAATAATAGGTCCGTTCTGCTATTTCATATGTATGTCACTGTACTTTGCTAATTTTTGTTCTAACTACACTCCTTCTTTCTGGCTATCCTGGAACTCACACTGTAGATGAGGCTGGCTTTGAACGCAGAGATCTCCCTCTCTTTGCCTCCCAAGTGCTGGGATAAAATTTGTGTGTCACCACCATCCTGCCTCCTCTCCTACCTCTTGTTGGCCCCCTTCCTACTCACTTAAGCTTTCATGACAGGCACACACACACCCCCCTACATCTAGATTCTGCATATGAAAGGAAACATGAAATACTTTCTTTTCCCCTTATAACCTTTTCCTGCCCCCTCCCTTTAACACCATATGAGAGAAAACTTATATTTGTCTTTCTGAGTCTGGCTTATGTTGCTTAATATAATCTCCAGTTCCACCTATGTCCCTGCAAATACTATAGCTTTTTTCTTCATTACAGTTGAATAAAATGTGCGTGCGTGCGTGCGTGCGTGTGTGAATAATGTAATACCTCATGGAAGCCAAGTATGGAGCCACATGCTTACAATTATAGCATTTGGCAGCCTGAGGTAGGAGGAGCATGAATTTGAGGCCATCCTGAGATCTCCTTTTAAAATACAATAAAGCCTATTCATGGATTCATTTAGAGTTCTTTCTTTCTATATAGAGTGACTAGGGATATCATTTTTTCCACCTGAGGTAGTTTGAAGAAAAATGGCCCCCAAAGGGATTAGCACTATTAGGAGGTGTGGTTTTGTTGGAGGAAGTGCGTCACTGTGGAGGCGGGCTTTGGGGGGTCTCGTGGATGCTCAAGGCACACCCAATGAGACACACCACTTCCTATTGCCTGCAAGCAAAGATGTAGAACACTTGGCTACTTCTCCAATACTATGTCTGCCTGCATGCTACCATGTCACACCATGATGATGGTGGACTAAACCTCTGAAAATGTAAGCCACCACAATCAAATGTTTTTCCTTTATAAGAGTTTCCATGGTCATGGTGTCTCTTCACAACAATAGAAACCTTAACTAAGATAACATGTATAACTGTCTTCAGCTTCAATTACTGTATTTTTACTGCAGCCAATATAATATGTAATCTCTGTCTTCAACCAAGGCCACCTACATCTGCTGGTCTGTGATCTGGCTTTTATTCTGTTCCACTGGTCATGATGTCTTTGTTTTATCCATTCCACATTTTATTAACTCTCTGTAATTAATAACTTTATTTCAAATGGTACCCTTTAAATTATTAATTCTAGTTTTTTGTTTATATTTAGAAATGTAATTGGTTGTATATTTACTTTCAGTCATCTTAGTAAATTCCTCTATAACTTCTAATAATTTATACAAAGATTTAAAAACCTTTTTAGGTCCATTTTCTTTTAAGGGTATGGGTGTTTGGTCTGCATGTATGTCTGTACTGTCTGCAGATTTGGTTCCCACAAAGGCCAGAAGGTGGCATCAAATCCCCTAGAATGGGAGTCAGGGATGTTGCGAGCCACCTTGTGGATGCTGGGAATTGAACCCAGTCCTCTGGAAGAGCAGCAAATGCTCGAAACTGCTAAGCCATCTCTCCAGCCTTGTCTTCTAAGAGTCTTTAGAAGCAGTAATTTTAAATGTTTATATGAGTAATAAGTATGTGACTTCATAAAAATTCTTAAATTTAACACACATATCAAGACAATATGATCAACACTCCAAATGTATTCTCTCCCTCTTCCTCCAAAGACAACACAATACTGACTCTAACTCCTGTGTGCTTTCTCTTATTTCTGTACTTTATATAGATGACACCTAAATTCTTTTGCTCAACCTAATGCTTGTAAGATTCATCATCATCATCATCATCACTTGGTTTTTCCAGACAGAATTTCTCTGTGTAGTCCTGGCTATCCTGGAACTCCCTCCATAGACCAGGCTGGCCTTGAACTCAGAGATCCGCCTGCCTCTGCCTTCCAAGTGCTGGGATTAAAATCCTGTGTCACCACTACCCAGCTTATGTTTTATTCTCATTGCTACATAGACTTCCTCTGAACAGATGTATATAGACCAAGCTGACCTCTAACTCACAACAATACCTGTCCCTGGTGGAGTAAAAAGCATAGGATATCCATCTGGCCTACACTCATTTTTAAATGAATGTCTGGGTTGCGATGGAGTCAATTAAGGCAAGGTGGGAGGGAACATTTGAAACTGAGCCTTTTATTTGAAACGAGCCTCAGATACAATTTTTTTTTTATGTCATTTCTAAGTAGGACTGTGTTTATCTTCATTGAGATAGGGAGATTGGAAGGTCTGAGAACCTAGAGAACCTTTTTTCTTTTGCACTGTTACAGGCCTAGCATATGTAGCATACCACAGAGCTGTGCATTTTATTAACTGTGGTTGTTTGTGGGTAACCAATTCTAAGACCGCATTACATTTTATGCATTGGAAACATGAATATATTGGGTATAAACATTTAAAACAGGTCATTAGTTTGATGAACTTGCTTTGACATGTCTTCATTTAAAGACTTATATTGAGCATGTCAATGAAAGAAACAGCTCTCACCTCAAAGGATGAAGAGATGGTTTGGTGTGGAGCCGAATATGAGTGCCCATGGCCCAAGAACGTGGACTTAGGTTTCTACAAATGTTCACATTCCATTGAACTAGCAGTCACAAGAGCTTTTGATAGTAACAGAACACAGAAACCCATAAGACACTCTTTTTAATACATTGGTTGGCACATTGGGCAGGCAGGTTACAGCATGTCGGAAAGACTTGTAGGCCTCCGATGCTACCTGACAGTATTCTTAGGCCTTTGGGTGGTGGATCCTGGGGGTCTATTTGTACTTTCCAGAAGGTTTACCCAGTGGTCACAAAGATGATAGGTCAGTTACAGAGAAGGACAATAAATGGCCATTAAGGGAGCTGAAGATGCCCTAAAATAATTCGGGTCTGAATTTGCAGCATTCCAACCGCTCCGCATTATTGAGCCTAACCTGTCAATCAGCTCTTGTCACATTTTCTATCTGGTTCTCATTAAAAGAACTTAAATAGCCGGGTGGTGGTGGCACACACCTTTAATCCCAGCAAAGCCAGGCTGATCTCTGTCATTTCCAGGCCAGCCTGGTCTACAGAGCGAGTTCCAGGGCAGCCAGGGCCTTTACAAAGAGAATATCTGTCTCGAAAAAACAAAAATTGAATTATCAAGAAGAGGCCCGATCTTTGAACACTCATAGAGACCATTGGTCATTGTACTTCCACTGCAGGCTTCACTCTTGACCCCTCTCAGGCCCTTCTCTGAAAATGTTACTATGTCTTCAACGCAATCAGCTTGGTTAGTGTGTACCAGAATTTAGGGATCATTTTCCCTCCAAAGGGTTAAAATACCACAGCATTTAACATCCTAAGTTTTAGAAATAGGAATTTGAGAACAAATTAGATTTTCCTAATAGAAATGTTTCTGAGCCTAAAGCCCTAAAGGGGAGTAAGGAAACCAATTAGCTTTAATTTAAATAATCATGTCTTAAGTAGCAAATGAACCAAGTTCTATTGTCAGAGAACAACTGTATTAAATCCCCCAAAGGTTAGCTTCAAAACAGCGTCGGTACAGTGGTTTCATCTCTTGCTAATGAAATAAGGTTTCTGTTGGTCGCTCTAACCTCTGTTTGTTGTCTGGCTGGATATGGTCTCGGAGAGTGGGGGTGGGGGTGGGGGTGGGGGTGGCTGGAAGAACAAGGATAGAAGAGTTACGGGAAGCTCACCATCATGTTCCTATTGTTAGTAACTAAAAAAACAAAAAACAAAAAACAACAACAACAAAAAAAAAACCCAAAAACCAAAAAACAAACGATGCGACTAAAATTTTCATTCCTGGAGGAAAACAGTTTGAGAAAACTGTATGTTCATGTTCCAAAGCGTGTATGTGTGTATACACACAGACTACTGTTTATATTTTTTTCCCTCTACTTGTTATGTAAAGGAAATGGAAGTGTGCTAGTTGAAATCACGTGACTATTTCAAAACCATGTCACAATGCCAAATTTTTGCCCAGGTCTCTAAACCATTGGAAATATATTAAGCAAATGTGTATTATTAAAAAGGCGTAAGAGGTGTGCACTAAACCCTGGCAGTGAGTTAACGCCAGGGGATTTCTTTCAGCTGGCTTAACCTACTAGAGAGCGCGGGAACTTAGCCAAGAGTTGGAAGCAGACCATGGAAGGCTCCAACGTATGTGCTCAGTGGCTTTGACTGTGTTTTTCTCATGCTGTTTCTTTGATTTCGACCTCTTCATGGACTGCCTCTGTGTCCTTGGGAAAGCAATTAACCTCACAGATTGTCTCCGTATCTGTCATGTGGGAACTATTATATTGTGGACATCCTGTGAGAACGAGAGGTGCGGCACAGACTGAGGCTGGCACATAGTAGGTGCTCTATGAATTCTGGCCTTAGCCTTGTTTTCTAGAAAGGGATTATTCCTTTCTGGTCTCTCTGACTGCCCAGCTTCACACTTCATGATCATGTCTTGTTACAGATATTTCTGTTTTATTTCCTTGTGGCATTTTTGAAGCATCTAAAGGAAGCACCATGGGATGTATCAAGTTGGAAAACAGTGGAGTCACAGAAATGGTAAGCAAGGGAGAAAGGTGTTGGTGGGTCAGAGCCTTGGTTTTCTGAGGTTACGTTTCTCCTGGAAACATAGACACTGCTTTTGAGAAAAACAAGACCTGTGTCTTTACCTAATTTTTTTTTTTTTTTTTATGGAAAGCAGGGTAGTTGTTTTCATGGGAAAGACTTGTGAGACGATGCTGGAGAAGATGCTAATGCATTTATTTCCACTGTTGCTCGCCCAACAGTCATCCTATTTTGTTACAAAGGGCAAATAATTTTGCAGGATGCTCCTCCACCCCCACATTAAGAAGTACATAATGTCATGTTTGTGTTGAAACTTTTTCTTCCGAAATGTCATAACCTCATCCAAGAGAGAATTAAAATCCTGTTATTTTAATTTACATCTAGCCACAAGATAAGTAAAGTTATCATTGCAATTCTAATTAAATGGGATGATTGACTAAGGTAGCACATCAAAGGAGAGAAGTGAATATGATAAGTGGAAGACTTATTAATTAGTCTGTGTGGAAGAAATTCCAGGGATGTCAAGCTGAGCCTGCTGCAAGGAGAAAAAAAGCAGCCGAGCAAGCGCTCATTTCTTTGAAGTTAGCAGCCGAGATAGTGATGGAGGTAATTGCGTCTGACTGGATCCAATAATGAAGAGCTGTAAATCAGAGCTCAGAATCGAAGGAAAGATTCAAGTAACGAATGTGGCTGTCCCCCCTGCTGCGAAGAAACAGAATGTGGAGCGCACTAATTGACCCAGCCTATTTCCCAGTAGTTCTCTGTTATTATTTATTAATTTTTAATTTCTGAATTATTTACGTCCTGGGAAATTATTCCTGACAGCCTGTTAGGCGTGCCAAAGTTAATGGAGGATGAAAGGATGGGTACCAGAATTAGTGGGGATAGAGTCACACGCTACTGGATTTAATGATTTTGGAAAGAAAAATTGATTTCACACAGTGTGTCACTTTATACTACTTTAGGGATGCACCAGCTATTTGATTAATTGAGGAATAACCGATTCAAAGTATATTTGAAGTGTAAATGAGTCACAGCACTCAGCTGTTTACTTTCCCCCTTTCTGAGACTTCTGGATTTTCTTGAAGCTGAAGATTAAACGCTGATGAAGAGCCGTTTGCACACGCTGTACACACACACACACACACACACACACACACCTGTGCGATTCCCGTTCACCTCAGAGGGAAGCTCTTGATACCCAAGATCAGGTGCTTTCCCCTTTCTTCCCCCTCCTGTCCCTGCAGTGACTTCTTTATTCCAGCCCACGGAGGCCACCCAGGCTGGGACCCGCCTCCTTCAGAACGTTTCTTACCTGCTGGCGGGGCAGCCGAGACAATCAGTGCTTGCTGATGAAGAGGAGAGACAGGAAGAAACAATGACTTATGGACAAGAGAGCGGGATCAGGAAAAGGAGTGTGACAGAAGCCTGAGTCCTGGGTCTTTTGTGACCACACTTTCTGGCCTTTCTCACAGTCTCCAGGACTCCACAGTATGATCTCCGTGTACCTTTCTTAGTCCTGTCATGCATCTCCTCAGGTCAGGTGTTTCTCCTCCACAGCATCCTACACAAGAGTGTCTTCTGGAGTTCATGCTCACTCCTAGGTCAGGGACGGTGGGTGTGGAGCGGGCCTGAGATTCTGAATCTCCTGTCAGATCCTACGGGAGCCCAGGCTGCTGCTCCTCGCTGTTTTGTGTGGCAATGTCATACAAAACTGGCAAACTCATTTCCCCCAACGGTTTTTAACTATGTGACTGTCATTCAGAAACCTTAGGTGACCTCCCAAACTTAGAATTAACCACAGACTCCTATTAGCTGGGAATATTAGTTTCTTTCCTTGTTTTGGGGACAATACTTGACAGGCAGTTTAAGGAAGGAAGGATTTGTTCCGACTCACAGTTCAGTGTCCTGCTTGATTTTGTCAACTTGACACAAGCCTAGACATTTGGAAAGAGTCCATCTTAATTTAGAAAATGCCTCCTAATTTATAAAAGGTCAGTCGGCAAGCCTATGAGGCATCTTTTTCATTAATTGGTGATTGATATGAGAGGTCCCAGCCCATTGTGGGTAGGGACACGCCTGGACAGATGGCCCTAGGGTATGTAAAAAAGCAGGCTGAGCAAGCCATGAGGAGCAAGCCAGTAAGCAGCACTCCTCCATGGTCTCTGCATCAGCTCCTGCCTTCAGGTTCCTGTCTTGAGTTCCTGGCCTGACTTCCCTGGATGATGTACTATAAAATGAAAGAAACTATTTGTGTCCCAAGTTGCTTTTGATCATGGTGTTTTATCGCAGTAATAGAAACCCTAAGACAGAGGGTGTGGTTCATCATGGTGTAAAGTCACAGTGGCAGGAGCTTGAGGCAGCTGGTCACTTTGCCTCCTCAACCAGGAAGTGCTGTGGAATAATCCTTGTATACTGTAGAGATTTGCCACTTGAATTGGACTAATAAAACACTTATTGGCCAGTGGCCAGGCAGGAAGTATAAATGGGATGACCAAACTAAGGATGATGGGAAGGAGAAGGGTGGAGTCAAGAGAGTTGCTGGCAAATGCAGAGAAGCATAATGAGAATGTTGTACTGAGAAAGGGTACTAAGCCACGTGACTAAACATATATAAGAATTATGGATTAATTTAGTGTAAGAGTTAGCTAGTAACAAGCCTGCGCTATTGGCCGAGCATTTACAATTAAAATAAATTTCAGAGTAATTATTTGGAAATAAGCAGGTGGGAGAGAAATGTCTGACTACAAGGAAGCAGAGGGAGATGAATGCTGATGCTCAGGTGCCTTTTTCTTTCTTTCTTCCTTTCTTTCTTTCTCTTTCTTTCTGTCTGTCTGTCTTTCTTTCTTTCTCTCTCTCTTTCTCTTTCTTTTTTTCTTTTTCTTTCTTTCTTTCTCTCTTTCTTCTTTCTCTCTTTCTTTCTTTCTTTCTTTCTTTCTTTCTTTCTTTCTTTCTTTCTTTCTTTCTTCCTTCCTTCCTTTCTCTCTTTCTTTCTTTCTTTCTTTCTTTCTTTCTTTCTTTCTTTCTTTCTTTCTTTCTTTCTTTCTCTCCTTCTTCCTTTCTTCCCCTCTCTCTCTCTCTCTCTCTCTGTCTTTCTTTCTTTTTCAAATCCCAGTCCATAACATGGTACTGCTCACATTTCCAGTGGGTCTCTCCATCTTAATGAACTCAATCTAGATATTTCCTCACAGACACGGCCAGAGGGATCGTCTTTCCAGTGATTCTAGACCTGTTTATATTGACCATCATCCCTGGCATTCAAGGTCTCTTTTCAAAAATATTTTTTATTACATGTATTTATTTAGTGTAGAGGTCAGGGTATATGTTTTTGGAATCAGTTACTTCCTTGCATGTGGGTCCTGGGGATTGAACTCGGGTCATCAGGCTTGGCAGCAAGTGCCTGGACCCGAGCCATCCCACCAGCACCGGACACTATTAGTAGGATCTCACCGTCTTCCTGAGCATGTCCTGTTCTTCCATCCTTCCCCTTCCTGCTGTGCTTGATGCTGTTTGTTTCCAGTGATGTATCTGAGTCTGGGAAGTCCACCAGCCCCTCAAGGCCTATTTTCAGTGCTCTGTCATCAGAGCTGGTGATTTTTTCACTCAATAAGACTTGGCTTTTCTAAGATTTCTCTTACACTTGTTTTGCCTACTTTCGTTTTCTTTTCTATTTTTTGAGACAACCTCACTTTGAGACCCAGGCAGACCTGGCACTCACTTTTTAGCCTGGACTAGCCTTGAATTCATGGCATTCCTCCTGCTTTACCCTCCCAAGTCCTGCAGGTGTCTGCTGTCAAGTCCAGCTTGTTTTGCCTATTTTTTTGCCATATAGTATCTTCGATCTTATGTTACCGTTATTAATGCTCCAATGTCCCCCATTTACAGGTAGAATGGGCGTGCTCTGAAAGAGTAGAAGAGTAGAGAGACTACTATGTATTTTATCTTTCCCAAGGGCAATGCAGAGCAGAGTTTGTGTTTAAGGGAAAACTGAGTTTAACTGAATGTATAGGAGTCTTTCTCATAGGGCTTGCAGATCTGTAGCATTTCTGAAGTCCTTGTGAGCTCAGACTCTAACTTCTTCAAACTTTAATCTATTCAGTTCTTCATTTGGCCACCTATTCTTAAGCACTTGAGGTTTTGTTTGTCTGTGTATTTTTTTTTTTTTTTTTTTTTGGTTTTTCGAGACAGGGTTTCTCTGTGTAGCTTTGCGCCTTTCCTGGAGCTCACTTGGTAGCCCAGGCTGGCCTCGAACTCACAGAGATCCGCCTGGCTCTGCCTCCTGAGTGCTGGGATTAAAGGCGTGCGCCACCAACGCCCGGCTGTCTGTGTATTTTTAACCAGGGCGGTGCCAGGGGCTGATAATACACAAGACAAAGACAACCTTGGCTCTCCCAGCTGGCAATTCCCTGTGCTTTCATCCCCACCCACTACTTTAGTGTCTCCCAACTCCAATGCGGGAGCCCATAACTGACTCAGTTTCCCAGTTTGAATCTGAAGTCTATTCTGAGTCAATAGAGTTCAAGCTTGCTTGCTCCAGGGCTGTGAGAAAGTCCTGATTAGCCCACAGGAAGGAACATACTATCTAGCTAGACACAGGCTACTGATGCCAACCGGAGGCACATCGAGATAGAAATTGAAACTGCCTGCTCTTTGACGCAAGGACGGCATAGACAGTGGTTGAATGCCTGTGCTGTGCATTGTTCTAGCTCTGTCCTTCAAGACTGTATATAACTGGCTGTGAAATAAACTCAGGGCTGTCCGGCATTGACCGGCAGACCTCTCGACTCTTTTCTGCCTTCTTCATTGTCTCTACAATCTGCATGCCTCTACCCAGCTACCCAGCTGACTGTCGGCAGGCTCCCACACTCCAACTCCAAATAAAAATTACCTAATAATAATTTATTCATGTTTTTTACTTTTCTCTTTTTAAAACAGGGCTTCACTATATAGCCCTAACTGGTCTATATAGTAGGAACTCACTATGTAGACCAAGCTGGCCTTGAACTTACAGAGATCCTCAAGCCTCTGCCTCCTGGGTATTGTGATTAAAGACATTCACCACCACACCCAGTTTATTAACTTAAAAAAAGAAAAAAGAAAACCGGAGCTGGGTGCACCATGCCTTTGATCCTAGCACGTGGATCTCTGTGAATTTGAGGCCAGCCTGGTCTACATAGTGAGTTCCAGGACAGCCAGGGATGTGTAGAGAAACCCTGTGTAAAGTAAACAAACAAACAAACAAAAATAATAAAGCAAACTAGTCTTGTTAATTCTTTGTGCGGCTCCAGACCCAACCTCCACTCCCTCAGCCTGGCTGCAGGCTCTCAAGGGACTTTCTGCTCTGTCTGGCTTTGAGTCCATCATTCTCCTGTCCAAAAAAGTGAGGAATCCCGCCGGGCGTTGGTGGCCCACGCCTTTAATCCCAGCACTTGGGAGGCAGAGCCAGGCGAATCTCTGTGAGTTCGAGGCCAGCCTGGGCTACCAAGTGAGCTCCAGGAAAGGCGCAAAGCTACACAGAGAAACCCTGTCTTGAAAAACAAAAACAAAAAACAAACAAACAAACAAAAAAAAAAAAAGTGAGGAATCCCTAAAGCCTTGACCATTCACTACAATTTTCCTACCCCAAGTTCTTTCCATTCCTCCTAGAGTTGACAGCCAGTGCCAGCGTTTTGTTGTTGTTTTTTCTAGATGTTTTTTCCAGTCCTAATTTTCAGCCTTACCTATTATACGCTACCACACGTAGGGGAAACGTCATTTTTAAACACTTCTAATTTTAGATTTACCGTAAGTGCTCAATCAAAGCCAGACCAAAACAAACACAGAGTGGCTGTGTCGTGTGACATGACAGGAGGTATAAGCAGACCTACCCAGAGGAAGAGGAGTGTGTTGTGGTTCCTTAGCAGCAGCCAGGAGAAGCCAACGTTGCATAAGGAACGAAGGGGAACAGTGTGGGGCTGCTTGGCGGACAGGTAACAGAATTCAGTGGAGACTCGGGAAAGAAGCCAAGGACGGTCCCCAGGAGATACAGGCCCTTCCCTGCAGGTGCTAGTAGACCTGTCACCTACAGGAGACTGGCTCATGAGTGGAGTAAAGCAAAGAGGAAGGAAAATGGAGTTGAGCCCTTCTCCTTGGAGAGCCTAACCCTGGTTCCCTTAATACACAGAGCTGTCTTAGTTGTGGTTCTTTTTTTTTTGGATGGGGGCTGGTGAGGAGAGAAGGAGAGGATCTCACAGCATAAGCTACGGCTCAGGCTAGCCGGAAACAAACTATGTCATCCACAACTGGAGGCAATTGTAATGCCTCAGTCTCCCAGAGTGGATGGTTCTTAAACTGTGCCTTTTGTCTTCAGTTGACACTTCCTACCGGAAGGCAGAACACTCTGACGTGGGAGGTAGATGTGACAGCAGGTACCCAGCAGAGGTTTGCTCACTCCCACAGAATGCATCAGATGTGAGCAAAGCAGACGTCACTCTATCATGGTGTAGCTGAAGTTTTCTCCAATCCTGCCTGGCCCACGGTCAGGACAAATCTCTCTCACCCGCCAGTCCCGCAGCCACTCAGACCCAACTGAGTAAACACACAGAGACTTATATTGCTTACAAACTGTATGGCCGTGGCAGGCTTCTTGTTATCTAGTTCTTCTATCTTAAATTAACCCATTTCTATTAATCTATACTTTGCCACACGGCTCATGGCTTACCAGTATCTCACATGTTGGTATTCATGGCAGTGTCTGGCAGTGTCTTCTGACTCAGCCTTCCTGTTCCCAGAATTCTCTTCTCTGCTTGTCCCGCCTATACTTCCTCCTGGCTACTGGCCAATCAGCATTTTATTTATACAGAGCGATATCCATAGCAGTAAGAAGAACACTCTTAGGAAAAGGTGTTATGCTACCTAAAAAGCTAGACCCATGTAGCAGATGAAGAAAGTATAGACCTCTTTGGGTAGGATATTTTAGTGGTTATGTTTATGTCAGCATAAAATAGAGGAATAGTTGGAACTATTAGTTATAAGGGAATATTATGTAGAAACAGGCAATGGAATAAAATGGAAAATCCAGATCTGTGTAATGGAGCTTGATATATGGTAAATAAACAAAGTAGTAAGAAATGCTTTGTTTGATATATGATATTGAGACAACTAACTCATTACTCAAAGAACAGGCTGTTGGCCATCTCCTACATGAAGATGGAATCCAAATGAATGAAAAATGTGAATGAGAGAAGGAAAGACTCAGAGCCAGTTGAAGAAAATAATATCTTTGTGAAGTTTAAGCCACACATCACAAATGGTGAGTGAAAAACCTTACAATTTATCTACATTAGTATTGAGGTTCTTGTTCATCAAAGGATACTAGAAACTTAAACAGAGCAGAAGATAGTTGCTAACTAACAAAGGGTAACACTCAAGTCAGGGTTTCATCCAGCAGAAACAAAATGATTCCCATAATAGCATTTTCTGTCAGTCACATTGAAATATAAAAAACAAGTGAAATTAGTAACACATTTTACCCATATATCGAAAATGTTACAATTTCACATAACTGTAAAATAACATTTTTGTTGAAATATTCTATACTTTTATAATAAACATTCGAAGTCTCACTCTTATAGCTCATCTCATTTCGAACAGATTTTAATTGGAAATACATGATATGTATTTCATTAAAGGTGGGTTTAATGCCCAAGTTCTTCCCCTCTCATTCATTCTGCTATTTACTTATTTGTTTATTTATCTGGACAAGCTGACTTTGACTCCCATGTGGCAGAGGAGGACCTTGTACTTATAATCCTTATGTGCTCTACCAACTAAGCTTTATCCCAAGCCCCCCCCCACACACACACTTTAAAACTTTCCAATTAGCTGTGTGAAATTAAAAAAAGAAAAATCCCAGTACCATTTGCATCCATGTTGACAAATGTCATTCATTTTTAGAAGGATGAATAAGCAGCAAAAGCATATTAGTTTAGAAATGACATTAATCCAAGTTAAGTCAGTTTACTAACTAGCAGCCAACGTACTGTTACCAACATGAACTTCAGAGGATGTTTGGCATTATTTCAAAAGCAATTATATCTAACAATATTAACAAAGTGTTCTTCCAGTTTTGTATACATTCTTTTCAGTCAGATTATATAACCGTATTTGATCATAACTCAAGGCTTCTGTAATTCAACTCATGTTTAAATGTGTGATGTTATTATTAGCTTGCATTATGAATAATTTCCGTTTTGATGTAAATTGTTACCTTTCTGGTTAAGTCAAAGGTTAGTTGTCCTTCCTTTTGGAGTTTTAGATTTAGGCGATTGAGGCTGTTAATATGTAGTGTGGTATCTGTGAGAAATACCAATCTAGGTATTTAGCATACATCTATTCCATTTCAGGACAGGACTGAGTTGGAGTTAATGGTACTCAAATCCTTCACAACTGTATTGTGAGCACCGAGGAAGAATACAAGAGCACTAAGTGCCATTTCTTTAGCAGTTCTCTACCTTTCAAATGCTTTTGACAAAGATTTATCCTTATTTTTTTGTTTGTGTCCATGTGAGTGTGTGTCACATGTCTGTGGGTGCCCATGGAGGCCCACGGAAGGTAAGTGGAATTACAGGTGGTTGTGGGACTCCTGACCTGGGCGCTTGGGACTAAACTTGGGTCATCTAGAAGAGCAGCAAGTAATTATTACCCCTGAGACATCTCACAATGCTGTTATTGGAGTTCTATAGAGAAGCGTGGGCATGCTCAGTTACAGGCACCTGGATGAGCTGGGCACCTGCAATCCTGGGAAGTCCACCTCAGCATGGACGATGATTTACAAAAGCTGCATCATCCCCTGCGCAGCTCTGCAGGCAGCCATGCCACTTCCCCCAGTCTCGGGGCAGGGGGGGCGTCTTCCAGAGTCTTGGTGTCCCTAAGGGGTCTCATGAGCCTTTTGAGCCTCCCTCTCCCCAAAGAGAAGACAGCCATAGGACAGCAAGGAGGGGGCATGGGAATAGGAACAGAGCGGACAGTTAGCAGTAGACCGAAGCTTAGCGGAGGTGGGCAGAGGGAACCAATCTTCAGTTGAAGTTTAAATAGGTGTCATTCCAACTCACGCTGTTTGACCAAAATAGTTGTCCTACTTTGATTTCTATGGCTGTGATGAAGACCGTGACCAAAAGCAGCTTGGGAAGGAAAGCTTGTTTCATCTTATCCTTTGGTGAGGGAATTCAGGGTGGGACCCTGAATGCAGCAACTGGAGCAGAGGCCATGGAGGAGGGCTGCTCACCGGCTTGCTCCCTGTGAACTGCTCAGCTTGATTGTTTTGTACAAGCCAGGACCAGCTGCCCAGGGCTGGCTTCACTTACAATTGGCTCCCATAGCCATCATTAACTAAAAATATGCTCCCACAGGCTGGTCTACAGGCCAATCTGACTGAGGCATCTTCTCAAGTGAGGCTCCTTCTCCTCAGATGACATTGTCAAATTGACCAAAAACTAAGCAGCACAATAGTCAAATATATATATCATAGTACAACCTAAGTACATAGAAAAACATCAAACTGAATCAGCCCGTCGACACTGGCTACACTGATCACATGTTTATGAATATTATGAGAAATTAGACTTGCACCATAGCAAAATAGTAGTTCTTATACGATAAAACAGAATGAGTTATATGTTTACCCAAATGTTGCTTTAGTTTTAAGTTAAATTAAGATTTCGATGTATTCATCTTGGTAGCCACACTTCAAGTTGTCGATAGCCACAAAGTGAGCCCATTTGTAGAGCTGCTGTATAGCAAAAGCAACCACAATTGGTGTGTGTGTGTGTGTGTGTGTGTGTGTGTGTGTGTGTGTGTGTGCAGCATTGAGATACCTGTGCCTTTAATTACGGCACCTGGGAGGGAGAGGCAGGCAGATCTCTGTGTGCTTGAGGCCAGCCTGGTCTATGAGTTCCAGGCCAGGGATGCATTGTGAGACCTTGTCCATAAACAAACAAACAAACAAATAAACAAACAAACAAATAAAAGATCAGAAGCAGCTAATTCAAAGATATGGGCTCACCAGTACTTCCAAAGCTAAATGAAAATTTACATGGCCTCTTTAAGCTTTCACACAGAAGGAATATATGTCAATACAACTTACATTTCCTTGCTCAAATTAGTGTCTCTTCCAGGGTACAATGTGCAGACTTATGATGGGCTAAGGAACAGGGGCCAGTCCTGTCTTCTCCAGAGGCCACATAGCAATATTTTGGGTTATGTTTGTGAAGTCTGGAAGTAATCTAATTGCTGTCTCTCCTCAAGTAGATGTTGTTTTTATTTATTCTCAGTGTATGTACCAATTATTGAAAGTTCAATCCGTGACTCACTAACCTGAGGCTCTGACGTTTGTTATCACAATTTATATATCCATCCTCAAGGTGGATGCAGTGCTCTTTATATTCCTTGTTCTAGAGTGAGGGTACCACTGTGGGCCAAAGCTAGGATTTGAACACGTTGTTTTTAACCCCACAGCCCACATGGTTTCCATACATGGCGTATTGTCTAGCTTTTTTGACATAATTGTCCTTTTTATGGGGAAGCTTGTTGTTGGAGACGTCTTTGTTATTCTGTTTCATTTTCAGTGCTAGGGATTGGGTCTAGGGTCTCACACATGCTGGGCTAGCATTCTGCCACTAAGGTACATCCCGAGCCCTAGAAATAACGTGGACTAATCTATTTCTTCATATGTGTTGCTTGTGTGTGAAAGTCGGGACAACTTGTGAGAGTGTTCCCTCTTTCTACCATGTGGGTCTCAGGGATCGAATTCAGGTCATCAGACTTAGCAAGTGCCTTTACCTGCTGAACAAGCAGGTGGTTCTGGAGGCAACTTTAAAAGATGTTCATTGAAAGATAGGAAGAAGAGGAATAGCAAGAAGAAGAAGAAGAAGAAGGAGGAGGAGGAGGAGGAGGAGGAGGAGG